CTGCCGATTGGCCGCGCCGCCCGTCCGTCCGCTCCGCGCCACCCGCGGGCCCTACCTGTGCCAGCTTGGCTCCGACCGCCGCCGCGACGAGCCCGGCCCGCCTCCGAGCGAGGGCCGCGCCGGGCGGGAGGGGCTGCGCGGGCCTGGCGGCGGGGACAGGCGGACAGGCCCAGGGAAGGAGCCTCGGCAGGGAAGCCGGGCCCGCCGCCGCCGCCCCGACTCCTGCCAGGACAGCTCTGACGTCTGCTGTTGTTGCTGGAAGTGACGTCCGCGGGGCGGGGCGCGCGGGAAGCGGAAGTGCCCGCCGGGCTCGGCGGCGGCAGATTCGGTCTGAGCCCGCCGCGCTCCCGAGGGAACGGCGGCCATCCCGCGGGAACGGCGGCGGTCCCGCCGCGCGGGTGAGCGCCAGCATCGCTCTCGGGGCGGGGGTCTGTCCCCGCCGTGCGGGCCGGCTCCCGGCCCGGGGCTCTCCCTCTCCTGGAGACGGCGAGCCCTGGGGACGGCCCGGTCTCCGGCTGTTGTAGGGGCGAGGAAAGACGGGTGGGGAGCCGGGCCCCACCCTTGTGAGTTTGCCGCAGGGCTCTGGTTCCGGGCCCGCAGCCCGCCTTGCTTCTCCTGGCTGGGACACGCTATTTTCCCGCTGGTGCCCAGGGCAACCGGCCTAGGACGCGCAGTCCCTTGTGCCGCTCGCTGGTGTGCGAGTGGCCTCTGCGGCAAGGGAGTCGCAGCTGGCAGGACGGCGAGGTCCCTTACTTTGTTGGTGACGTGCGATTTCCCCCGGCTCCCCGCCCTGTGTAACAGGAGAGTGTAGATCCAGTTAGAAGAAATGGAAAATCTAGTTGTTGGGCATTTCAAAGACAATGTTTACAGTGTGAGCATACTTGGTAACTTGCATGGGATAGTTTCTTTAGTTTATCTTTGTTTTGGTATTTTTGTTTAGTTTTTAACGATGGTCCTTTGACTGTCATACACAGTTTTGAGAGTTGTTCTTTGAGCCACTTGCTCAAATTTCTATATAATTGTATCTTGAAACTTTGTCATACTCGATTTTACTCTTGATAGCCAACGCTCCATAACTTCTGTTATGAATTTCTACAGACAAAACCTGTTTTACTGGGTTAGCCTTCCCAAGATTTGCTTCCAACTTGACTGTTACTTTTATGATTTCTTAAGCTATTTTGTAGTGACAGTAGTTACCAGTTTTTCCATCCAGAGGTCTGGTATAAAAAGAAAGGATTGTTGATACTTTTGGGAAAGAGCCTATATGTTTAGACAAAATCCTGTTAGAGTGGCTTCTGTGAGTATTTGCGTTGCAGATTAGAGCTTTGGTTTTATGTCAGATTCTTTGAGATTTGTCTTAATAGCTAGTTAAATTTGCAAAACCGTAGAATGGATCACAGTGTAGCATAATGCAGGAAGAAAAGCTGCCTCAATTTCCAAATGTCTGATTAAATTCTTCCAACAGTAAGTATTTTGTACTTCTGTTTAGTGCAACTAATAATGCAGAATCTAATGATTAAATTTAAGGAACCTGATGATTAAGTAGGAAGAAAATTCTCTTAACAAGGGCAGAACACATGGGAAGAGCTTAATCTTGAGGAGTGCTGATTAAACACCATAGAAGCACAAGAAGAAAAACACCCACAGCAAATCCAGCCCACTGTAAATGCAAGCTTTGACTGTCTCTTGAGACCATTGCTTCATTTATAGGCTGTGTGACTGTGCCTCTTCACTGCTTGGATTGGTAAGCTTAAAAATACTTGTTTCATAGCAAGAAAAGAAATTTAGTAAAGATAGTGGCAGGTAATTATCTCCCAGCTTCTTGCAGAAAATTGAATTTAAGTGATTATTGCATTTTGTAATTTTTGTGTACATAATTTTTTGAACAGACATACTTTTTAACTTTTATTTCATAATCTGAAAGAAGAATAACATTTGGAATAATGGCAACAGGAGACCTAAATGGAAGTTTAAGAAAAATAGAACAAGGACTTCGCTTGTTAAATTATCCAAGGGATGTGGATTATACAGTGTAAGTGGCAGTGAAAACTTATGCTAATGCATGATGACAGCATGATGTGTAAACAAGATACGTATAAGTAGCATTGCGCCCAGTGAGAAGTGATCAGAACATAGCTATGGGAAGTTGGGGTGTGGTCTATGTGAACTGGAATATAAAAGTATGAAGTTTTGTTCTTCTGAGCAATCCTGAGCTGTATTACTGTCTTGCTCATCTTTTGCTGTTCTTGTCTTTTTTTTTTGTTTTGTTTTGGTTTTGTTTTGTTTTGGTTAGTCTCACCTTAATGATTTCTTCGGAAGTGCTTGCAAAACTTCCTTCAGGAAACTTAATCCTGTAAAGATTAGAAACAAAAAAAAAAAAAAGTCTGAATGTTGAGCTGGAAATGCTTGTGGGCTTTAGACTTGACAATATTTAGATTATGTGAAGATCACAAAAACATTTTTTTGAGCATTTTACCATCCAGCATGAGAGAAGGCTGGACAAAAAAGCCTTAAAATTAAATATATTTGAATATAACATGCTGGCTGTATTTATTCCTTTCAAGTTAAATGTTTGCCTTCATGTAATGAAAGGCTTTTGTTGCCTTCTGCTGTATAAAATACTTCTGTTTCTTAATAGGTTAATAAAGGGTGATCCAGCTGCATTTTTACCTATCATCAGCTATTGTTTTACATCTTTTTCAACTTGCATAGCAGAGCTTTTGGTAAAGTGTGATGTGGAACTGACAGCCAAGAGTGACTTGCGTTTTATTGAAGCCGTTTATAAGGTATCTCTTGTTCTTTGCAAATGACACATGGATTTGTGTACAATTTCATAAAAATTAAACATTTACTATGAGCTTTACTAGAAAGTGAAAGGTTTTGGCAATAAACATGAATTTTAGTTCTATTAGGATTTAAGATGAGTAGTAAGTCACTGTGTGAAAGTTTTTAGATTTCAATGAAAATAAGGGTGGGTGGTGGTAGCCAAATCTCAATTTTGAGACATTTGCAGGAACAGTAATATTGTTAGACGTTGATTTTGAAGAACACAGAAATGTCTATTGGCAATAAGATTTATAGAAGTGACCTTGGCAAAAAAAATCTTAAGCACCAAAACAATCACAAGAAACTCAAAAAATTAGCATGTAAGCACAGTTAAGAAATACAGCTATTTTGAAACACTGTGCCATTTTGAATACATAAAGTCGAATACTTAACCTTTTATAAATCTGAGTCAAATTCTTAACTGACTGAAAATAACTCTCAACTATCCTTAAAATATACAAAAGCATGTTTTTATGAGAGGTGGATTGATGAATTAAGGAACAGTGGCTTATTCAGACTAGTTTTCCATCTGACAGACTGCTTTATAGGGTTCTGTGGGAGTCTTATGTAGCCCTCTGATCTATTTGGTAAGATTAATACAACTTTTTATTGTACATTCACTTTAAAAGCTCTTAGTTTAAGTTTTTTAGTATTAATTTCTATAGTAGTTTATTTCTTGAATCTTAAGACTGAGTTGAAGTTTACAAGAGTGATGTGAATGAAAGAGGAGGTATGTTTAAAATCTAGTTAAAAGAAATAGCTGTATATATATTTTTATATATAAAAAAATAATCAAATGAAGAAAGGCTTAACTGCTGAAGTACAGAATGAAAGAAAAGTTTCTAGTAAAATAAGTATATGGGCATGCTATTTCTACAGCAAATTGTGAGGTGATTTTGAAAGTGAAGTAAACTCTTGTTTTGTTGCAGTTCCTTCGTGATCAATTTCAGTATAAACCAATTTTAACAAAAGAGCAGTTTCTTCAGTTTGGCTTTGCGGAAAGAAAAATGCAAATCGTTTGTGACATTATCAATTGTGTGGTGAAGAAACATAAGGAGTTGAGTAACTCTAGTAAGGTACTGATCAAATGGTTACCTTTATTTTAAGTTTCTTTTGACATGTTTGATGCTGCAGATAAGCTGGTCTTCAGCTTCTATTTGAAGATGCAGCACTGCTAATGGACCAAATAATGAAAAGTTAGTATGAAGTTCCATTGTAAGATGCTTGAATGCTTTCATTCAAGACATGAAGCTGCCAATATTTTGTAGCATAAGAAAATTAGAATGAAGATAAATCTAATTGATGTCTTTACAGTAAGTGATGTATTTTCTTTTACAGTTCTTGATACAGTGAACATGTGAATCAATAAACATTTCAGATAACTTTAAAGGCAAAGCAAATTCATCTCATATGTTGAATTTCTGTAACAATTTAAACGTGACACTTGCATTGCTTCAAAAATCTGATTGTTTTCAGTAACACTATTTGTAATGGCATTTCTTCTTTTTTCAGTGTGTGTTGTGTATCAATCTGCGTTAATGAAAGGAATTTCCAGTCTTTATATTTTATAGGATTTTGTTTCCTTTGAGTTTTTAGCAAGTCTTCAGGACTTCTGTATATTTAATTTGTCGGTTTTGAAGACATGACTATATTTTTTGTACTTATTTTACTTTCAACTCTGGTGCAAGTTGTATTTTCTATTTATAAACAGTTTTGATGCAGCCTAGCATAGGCATTAATGAGTGTAAAAGTATGGCATTCACTTCTGGATCTGTGTTATCTATAAATTCTGGTCATATTTAATTTTTTTTAGACACTATAGTACTACAGAGGTTTAAATGTGTTTGTGTTTGTGTGCACCGTGAAATATTCCTGACTGTCAGTGAGGATGTTAGAAAGTGGGTGTGGAATCCTAAAAATTTGCCTGTGTTATTTTCTTCTG